TAAACACGCCTCAATTTTTGTTTTTTTACGTCCAGACTGCTACGTACAATCAACTTGCCCGAATGTCTGATACAATAAGTGCGAATAAGTAAATACTATACATTCTATACTTATGTGTATGGAACGTGTTCGAAATTTATGTGAAATTGCATTAAAATCAACGAGATGTACATACAAACATACATACTCGTATATAAATATATGCATGTACACGCGCTTGTATTATTTGCATATACTGTACATAGATATAGGCGCGTGCATGTTGAGAAATAATAGCAATAATACCACATTTAATTGCAATTGAGAGGAGAATATTATATTTAAGTTCATGTCTACTCTTTATTTCTGGTTAAAAGAAATATATATTATATTATATTTACGGATAGTACCTTAAAATTTTCGCTGATAGCTTAGACGATCAATTTAAGTTAATTTGTAGATTTTTCATGATTACTAAGACATTTTACATTTGATCTATATATCTTAAGAATCTTCAATGCTATAGCTGCTACATTTTATTTCAATAAATCAGTAAATGGTTCTTAGTATTAAGTATTAAGATACATTCCTCAGCAAATAATTGCGATAGATATCAACCATCGGACATCTGAATCATTACTACATTAGGAGGGTATACTACAACTTCGAATATGTATGAATGCATGTAAAGACATGCATTAAATGTACAAACATAATTGTATAATTTAATTGCAGCTTCGAAGTTTGCGGCTTGAAGATGGGGCCGAGTGCCAAGGCTTGGGTTCAAGGGGCAAGAGCAGGGGCCAGCTTCGGTTGCTTGGCCAGACAGTGCTACGCTTTGTTTGACTTTGAGGTTAAGGCTTATGTAGACACACACTTATGTTCGTACTTATCATTATATATGTGCTTGTATATACATGTATATAGGGGTTTATGGTTTAATTATGAAAGGCTGTGCACTTGCAATTCAAAGTCTGCGGCAACGGTTTGTTAATTAACAATTCAAGAAGATTGAAGTTTGTGATTTCGATTCTAGGAAATGTGGCAGCTAAACATTTTTCTAATGCCAGCAAAATATGTTTGTTTTTGTGAGGCGGGCCATATAAAACCAATGTAGACACAGTCTGCGGTAGTCGAAAGAATTGTTTGTGTGTTTAAGAACAAGAACAACAACCGCAAAAGTTTAAACAAAAATCGCACAAAAGAAAACGTGCAAATTGTTGTGAGCTGGAGATTTCCCAATTTTTATACATATAGCAGACTTTACTTTTTCGTTTTAAATATTGCGCCAAATCGTCAAATAAATCATGCGAATGTGTAGATTAAAAGCAAGTGGTAAATAAATAATCAATCGAAACTCAAAAGCCAGTACAAGCAAACCCCGAGAGGCGTCTGAACAAAAAACAAAAAAAAAAAAAGAACAGGTTTTACGATTTTTATTGTCTTGCGTTAGCTTCTTCGTTTTATTTTATTTATTTTGTATTTTATTTTGCCGTTTCTTCTGCGGGCGAAACTTTGAAAAATAACGTCATAAAATGAAGAGTGGAAAACGCTAAAAAAGACGTTGGGGATCTAACAATGGAAGGGAAGACACGTTTCAGGGCTCGTGCTGTTTTTTGTATTTTCCACTCCACATGCACTTACATGATTTTTAGCCATTTTTTGTAATTTCGCTGCCATGGCGGTTGTGTTCTAAGCCGAACAATGGGCTTTTAAATTGCACGTTCGACAATAAGTTATGAATTTACAATAAAATACTATGTACTTAGTATTATGTGTGTTTTGATAGACGCATATAGTATATTGTATTATGTTTGTATTTGGCATATTGTGGCATTCAAGCGTTGCAGTTTATGGATAAAATATATACACATACTCGTATATATGTACTCGCACATACATATGTACATATGTGTGTACGATGTGTAGAAATTGGGTCAAAGTTGAAAACAATCAAAGCTAAATGTAAGCAGTTCTTTATGTGTGCGTCTGTCTATACGTGAGATAAAGCGCACTTGAAAGCTGTTTCAATCAGACACAATACGCAATATGTATCGGTTCATATACATATAAGTATATAATCGTATGTACATAGATGCCACATTTTGAAAAGATCCATACGTTGTCAATTACTATGAAATAGAATGCATTATTGCCAAGTGATCAAAAGTTTCACTTTGCGAATGATTTATTTATTTAAGGTTGTGTTTATTTATCTGTTTACAATACTCTGCAACAGAAGGGTAAGAAGTTTAGAAGAAGAAAGCAAGTCCGACCCCATTAAGTAAATAGAGTATGTATATTCTTAACTAGCATGACAAGATATCCGTCTGTTCATCCGTCTGTCTGGATGAACGCCTAGATTTCGAAAACGGCTGAGCCCAGTTTGATCAAACTTTGTATGTAGGCTCTCCTAGCCGCCAGGCAACACGAGTTTAGTAATTAGCTACATTTTGGACATTCGCTGAAAATCTATTGTCCAAATGATCGCTGTTGTACTGTATTAAATTTCTTCATAATTTTTACGTCATTTAAAATTATGGTCAGTCAACGTACATATTTTTAAGGCATCAAACAATAGCAACAAATAATACTAAAATACGATTTGCCAATTAAAGCGGTTCAAGAATTTTTTTGATGTAAACGCGTTTGTTTTATAAATATGTGTGTATTGCTGTTTTATTATGGAATATTATTGTTTTCCAATGTCTTGATATTTGATGATGAAATAAGCGTCAAAACAAGTATTAAAAATAAAATCGCCAATTGATTCATTTTTCTGTTTCATGTATAAATCTAAATGTTTAGTGGAAACGTACTAATATTTCATTCTTATTTTACTTATGTATATTGATTTTATTATTTGTAATTTTAAAAAAACTGTTTCCTCATACTTTTTAAAATAGATAGATTTTTGTATGTTTTTAAACATTTGACTAGAATAGAATATTAATTTAGTTTATAAAAAATGGTTCATGAATATTTAACAAAGATTATGTTATGTGATGTGAAGAAAGTCAAGAATTACAGAGTTACGGAATTAGTAAGCAATGTTTTTGGCACTGGCAACATAAGCTCTATCTTTCCAAATATGTTTATATAATTAATATTTTTATAGCCTGTACCCAAAGGGTGAAAGGCTATACTAGTTTTGTGCGCATGTATGTAACACACAGAAGGAGGCGTGGCAGACCCCACAAAGTATATATATTCTTGATCAGGATGAGAAGACGAGTCGATATAGCCATGTCCGTCTGTCCGTCTGACCGTCTGTCCGTCTGTCTGTATGAGCGCAAGGATCTCAGTAAGTACAAGAGCTAGGATAACCAAAATTGGTATCAAGGTTCCTATAAGCCCTAGGCAGAACGAGTTTGTTTATTTTTTCTGATACACCCCCCCACTCCCCCGCAATTCGTATTTTTTCTTATAACTTCCGTAATTCTCGGAATTTAAAAATCAATTTTGGTAGGTACATCCAGTTAGTACTAATGTGTCCGTGTGCCAAATTTCATCATGATAGGTCAATTCTGAAGAAAGTTATAGCCATAAGTAAAATCGCTGCTCATGCGCTGCCTCTGTCGGCAGCGCTGCCCGCAGCTGTTGTTGTTGTTGCTGCTTTGGTTCAACTTTGTGCTGCATACATACACGCATATAAACACGCATAGGTACATGATGTAAATGTATGCTGTTAAAACTGAACATAAACATGTATTCTAATTTAATTTAATTAATTATTTTAATTAATTAATTCATTCATTTTTTTTAATAATTTAATTTTTTTAAAATTTTTTTTTTTTTAATTTTTCCTTTTTGTGGAGAGTACAGGCTATTTTACTGTCGGGCTTGCTCGACTGTAGCGTTCTATCTTGTTTAATATAACATTTTAATGAAGCGATAAGTAGTATTGCATAAAAATGTATTCAAAAACAGCGAGCATTTCCTGTTTTGCGCTCATGCAATCACAAGCTACAGAACATTAAAAAATTAATATCTGCTTATGGAAAATAACAAACATATATACAACAAGTATTTACAATGTCTGTGTTATACTGAGTATATATGTACATATGTATGTATGCTTGTACATATGTGTTATAAAATTAACCGCCCAGCTTAACTATCGCTCATAAGAAAAGTGCTTATCAATGAAGGCGGCAAGAATTAAATTCATATACTATAAGAGTATGGTAGATATGTACGAGTACTCTTCATATATAAGTACATGCACATATGTACATACATACATATGTATGTACAAGTATGTAAGAACATGCTATGAACGGTAGGAGAGCGACCCTAAAAGCTCAATGCAGTTGCCAACTGATGCCTAAGAAAACGCAGTCAATTGGAAAGTGAGGCAGCAGTTAAAGAAATTAAACACCTGCTGCGCTTGAAAGCGAATGGGAAATTGTTTTTATTTTTTCACATGCAGTCATTGCTTAAGAGTGTAGAATGAAATATTTTTCGGAGTCTCAAGTACAGTTGCCGGGCATGTTGTTCGTAAGCCCTTTACAAATTTACCGCAAAATAACTGATCACTGCTTAAGTACTTTTGGTTATCAATAAGTACGTTTGTATGTACACACATACATACATACACACATATGTATGTAAATACATATATACTATGTAAAAGATAGCAATGTGGCACACGATTCTTTTGTTTCTCTTTATGCAATAATTTTCATAATAGTTATTGTATTAATATTACAAATGAAATAAACAGCATAATATATAAGCAACAGCACATAAACAAACACACAAACAATTTCAGTGTACATATGCACGTGTGTATACATATACATACATATATATATTTAATTAATTAACAGCGTTGACCTTCACAGACATTCAATTAAGTAAAAAGCCCGCAAATTGCGCAAAACATTTAAAAAATGAAATGCTGGGGGATGCATTGGGGCGCTTTATAATAAAAACTAGCCATAATATTTGGAGAGGGAAAATAATTGCAACAACAACAGCTTCCAATTAATAGTGATGACAAAGTTAGTGTAACTTACCTGTTAATAGTTGGGTGTGCGCTGTTGGATGACCTCAAATGGTGCTGCGCTTAGTTGATTTTGGTGAGGCGACTGCCGCGGTTGCGCTCCAAATGTGGCACGGGAGTGGGGGCAGGGGGGCAAGTCCAAGTCTAACTGGCCAAATGTGAGTGACTAATGCCCACACACACACTAACACACAAAACCCACTAAATTTCGGTGTTTTATTGTCAAACAAACACACACTCACGCATGCACGAAAAAGCAAGCGAACGTTTAGCTTGACTACGTCAACTTTCCACTTTTAGCACCGCGCGCCCGCTAGCACTCACACAGACACATACCTACAAACATGCGCAGCAATTTAACGATATGTTGTGTTTCGTCCAGTAGCAATGGCAACAACAACAAAGGCAAAACGGCAGCTGCAAATGCAGTTAACAATGACGCTGACGTCGACTGCGCGCAGCGCCGAAGAGGAAATGTCACTGCTGTCGTTTCAGTTGTGTATGAGCGTATTTAATGCAAATTTCATTTATGTATATGTCCCGTTTGAGTTGAAGCGTATTGCAAAATGCTAGATTTCGCTATTTACTTTTGTTTAATTACGCGCACGCACACACACATTCACGCATTTACACGAACGATTTCTCAATACATTTTTCAACTATATGTGTTGCCACTTTTATTTTCAACTTTGATGTATTCATCAAATGTGCAATGTGTGTCTTATTTATGTTGAAAGGTGATGCTCTATTTTTTGTGGGCGTCGTTTTAAGCAAATTTATGTTCTTTATTACTTTTTTCCTTCAGCCGTTATTACGCCGTGACAGTGCGCCCCGTTCGACGTGCAGCCTGCTTCGCTCTTTTCTTCTTTACGGAAACTGAAACCAGGGAGGTAGCACAGCTGCGATTGCCGTTTGTTTTGAGTTTTCAGAGTTGGTTGCACCGATAAACAGCACATGGAATTTGCCAACACTATATTCGTTTTCAAAAACAGCTGTGCTATTTCGAATGTAATTTCTTAGCTGAATGTTGTCTTGTTAGTCTGTTAATTTTTGAATATAAAACTAATTCAAAACAATTTTTGTAATGAATATTAAAAATAAGATTAAAATCATATAAAAATATTATCAGAATATATATGGAATGAAATTTTGTCATTAATTTGTATATTTTCCATGTCACACAGAATAAGAGGATAACGTAAGCAGGATAACGATTACTTTCCTTGTCTGAATTGCTGAAGAAGTGACGTATTAATAAAATGCAATGAAAAAAATACCATAGTGCTAGTTATTTGTTTTTACGTTATTTATTATTTAATTTAATCAATAGCTTATATATTAATGCATAAGCAATTCCAGCTGTACAAGACGTTGATTGTTGTCGAAGGGCATGCGATAAGGCATTGTCGCGGCCATGTTAGCCACTGCCTTGGCACGTTCGCGCAACGCCAATAATTTTCGCTCGTAATTGGTATCCTTGGGTCCCTGCCCCTCTTTTAGATTCTTGTAGAGGGTATGGCCAATTTCAAGGGTTGCTACCATAACATCGGGCAGCACTTTTATGACTTCTCCACTCAATAGCTTTATATTGGCCACACAGCTGTCCACCTCCTCACAGTTGTTAGGTATGAGTTGAGTCCTTTTCAGCAATTCTAAGGCTTCTAGCGGCTTACGCTCGTGGTATTTGTCAAAGAAGTGCAACAGGTTCTTAAGCAACTCATAGGTGGCATGCACCTTGGGCTCCACATCTGTGAGTCGTTTGTCCAGCTGTTCAACTTCTACACTGAGGCGTGCGCGTAATGTGCCTTCCGCCGGTGGTTGGGCGACTGTTTGAGCGAGCAGAATCGAAATTTGCTTAAGTGCCTCATTATATTTGCCTGCGATATCATAGAGACGCAGGGCCATCTCAAAGTTTCCACGCCGCACTAACTCATCTCCCACCAAGCCGGCCGTTGTGCGTGAATTGAAGTCGGGGCAATCGAATTGTTGGAAGAGGCCGCTGTGGAAACAAAAAAGTAAATTAATAATGGACATGTTTACAGATATATCTTTTCAGCTCAGCTTACCTTCCAACTCCACCATCTGCATTCGCCTCCCGTTGACCAAAGATCAAATCAAATATGCTTGTATCCAGCACACCACTCTCCACGACCAGTTCACAAACACAGGCGAGAAACATATTGCGCCCATTGGCATCGCAAAGACCCCGAAGGGTATAATAATAGTGTAGAGCCTCTGCCGTATCCGTGCGCTCAAAACGCTGTACATAAAGACGAATGAGACGCGACAAATTAAGTCGTCGTAGCGGTGGCGGATCGACAATATCTATTGTAAGAAGCGGCTGTGTGACACTCCTTGCGCCACCCAGCACTCCCAGCTCATGCAGGGCAATGGCCATGTGGACGGCATGTGAACGATTAGCTTGGGTGCGTGCGAGGAACTCAATGGCTGCCTCGAATTGTCCGGTTAGTGCCAGAGTTTGGAAATAAAGATGCGCCTGTTGCTTGGCATTAAAATACTTTTCACCATATTTCTCCAAAATCAAGCACTGCAAATTGCTATAGCTTTGGGCATCGCCCACACGCAACATGGCTAGCTTTATCCAAAGGAAATCATCAATCGTCTTCGCCACTTCGCTGTGCACTTCATTGGGATCACAGCTGAGTATAATGCAGTAGACGGCCTTCTTGTAGGAGTCCGTGGAGTTCTTAATTTTATTCGCATACTGAAGCTTTAGACGACTCTCCATTTTGCTGTTAATCACACCTGCCTCACGATCGACAATCAGTTGGGCAAATTCCTCGCAACTGTTGCCCGCTTCCTGCAGAAAGGAAATGGCTGTGCTGACAGAGCCACATCTCAAGCTGTAGTAGACCAAAGGCCAGAGCAATTTGCCGCAGCCAGGATCCACCAGTCCAATGATGTGTTGTTCACTGAAGCGTTTGCTGACATAGGCATGCAGTAATTGATAATTGTCTCTTCCACCACTTCCTCCCACAATTGAATGCATGTAAGTCTTGTAGCGGCGCTCTAAATATGAACGCGCATGCTGCACGAATTCCCACCGCTGCTGGCGTTCCTTGATGGGATCACTGCGCTGGGGCTCCTTGACTTGGGTGACGCAAGCAAGCAAGGTCCACATATCACTTAAACGTGGATCGCCAAAGCTGATGGCTACCTGCGAAAATTTCTGCACTAAGTGTGGACGAGGTGCGCCTTTAACCACCAGATCATTGTATTGGCGGAGCTCCTGCGCATAAAGCAGCTCCATTCGACTGAGACAGGAAATCGGTGGGCATTGTGGATTCAGAATAGTGTACTCTGGCAGACGTTGTAGATCTATAAAGTTTTGTGATGGTCCGATTAAAGCATCGAGCAGGCGTGTTTTCTCCTGATTCCACGTACATATGAGATGCTCCCATTTCTGTTTGCTCACCGTCTCGCTAATCTGTGAACCATATCATATATTATCATATATTGTGAAAAATATAAAAAGAATTCAACGAACATTCTTATTTGTATCCTCAATGACTGAGAGTATGGCATTCTCCCGCTCGTTCTTGAGAAATGTGCTCACATCCGTATCCGTTGATGTGGCATCCACGGGTTCGAAAGTCTTGCGTGTGCTGAGAGCCTCTAATTTTTGATTTAGTTTGGGCAAATCCACTCCCTGGGAGCCGAGCAAAATGTGCCTGCAAATGACACTCGTTATATGGTGAATTAATTTTGGGGCATTTGGTACTCACGCTTGAATGTCCTTATCCTTGCCGCCGGTCTGTGTGATGCGCGCGTGCATTTGTTCCGTGCCTTGTAGCACTTGTTGCAACGTGCGCGCCACACGTGGCGTCTCGCAGTTGTTGCCATTTACCAAACATTGTGCGCGCTGCAGCAGAGTGTTAAAGTCCATTTTAAAATAAATAATTATAAATTGGCGTTCTATAGGGAAATGTAGGTTCGCATGCTGCAGCCGGCTTACTACAACACTAATTTTGTCGTATTCTTGCGTTGTCCAACACTGTTGCAACGCTACCCCAGCTGTTTGCTTATAAGTGTTTGTTTTGGGTCTTTGTTATTACAAATTTGATTGAACTCAGAGCCCGCCATGTAAAACATTTTGATAATAATTAATTTATAATAAAAATATTTCAATAAATATATTAGTGTTCTCAAAATTCCGATATTAAAATTCTAATATCGAATATCTATTGACGCCATTTGGAACCGTTATGTTTTAAAGACAAAAATTAACTTAAAAATAAAAAATTACGTTATTATAATTTAACCTTAATTTTCAAGTCTTGAAATTTTATGTATATTTCTTTTAAATGATACAAGTTAACTATCTGCAGTACTAGCTCTAACAAAGAATTTCCTTATGTTTATTTAGGTTTCGAAAAGCTGAGCACGATAGGGGCCAAGCAGAACAAGGTTCCATAATTAAAGATGGAGATAAAAGGCTATATCAATTTTGGCGGTGCTTTAAAGCCACGAAGTCTTGAACAACAATCACGTCAATATCATCAAATCGCATTAGAGAATCAAAATCACCATAAATCCTCACTGCATTGAAACCACATCATTTTAATAAAAAAAAATAGAAATCGGTAACATGAAATTTTATTTAAAGCTGACTTTAATCGTGGGGTGATCCGGAAATGTCCAAAATAAACAGTCGGGAAACTTCCGTAATTGTTGAGAATTTCAGGAAAAAGTAATAAATAGAGTTAATGGGACTATATATTTTCATTATGTTTGATAATTTTCCTATTACATTATTTTAGCGTTAAAAATAATTATTTCAATCTTATTTTTTTTTTTTTATTATTTTCTTTTATTTAAACTTATATCGAAATTATATATTAAATAAGTGGTGTAATCGTGAAACCCAAGTGCATAAAATACAATTTTTTCTAAATTAAAATTGAAAGGAAATCTATAATTAAATTGAAACTAAAGAAATTGTACACTTTGCTTAATAGACTTGTAACTGAAGTTGTTGACACTAGTTTTGGGTGTTTTTTGTTGTGGGTGGAAAATATACTAAAACCTGCTTTTGTTTCTAGAATTCAGCCCGAAATGCTGCTGAGCAGCAAATACAGACGTCGCTAGTTTGCCAAAACTGCAAGTGAAAACTGCTGTGCAAGTGAAAACTGCTGTTGGTCGTTGCATTTATGATATGACGCAGCTGCTCTTCTCTGGGGGATTGCCGTTTTCGTTCTCAATTAGTAGCAGCAATTGATGAAATATATCGGCAACAGACTAAAAATACGAAAATTTAATTAGTCAGTTAATTGAAAAGCTGGCTAAAATGTGCGCCCACTTGCCTCATTTTGTTTAGCGGATGTTTCGAGAAATGCAGCGCGCCAAGTTTCGGCTAGTTTTTTTCCCTCTTCTGTGGAAACTGTGCGTTCCTGATGCAAATCGGTCTTATTGCCTACTAAAACTACAGGTACACTGTAAAAAAAACAAAAAAATATATATATATAATTTAAGACCATGAAGTGTATTGGATTTTGTTAAAAATAGCTAAAAATCTCAATCATTATGGTAAGATGCTATCATTAAAATTGACAAATTATTAAACTGGAAGAGAAATGGCCAAACATAATTGACTCACAAATGAATCAGGAATATGCCCAGCAAGAAATACACATATACATTTTTGTTGTCGTTGAATATAAATAAATTTCAAATGCCTTACATTTTTACAAGCAACACTAGCTGATTATTAATAAATAAAGAAATATTTTATATTTACTTACTATTTCTTGCCCATCACATACAACAATTTCTCGTGTATGATTTTGATAACTTCAAAAGACTTTTGACTTGTTATTGAATAGACCAAGACATAACCATGAAAGTCCATGCTATATTGTACCGGGAAAATGCTATATTCGTCCTGTCCAGCAGTATCGACCAGTTTAACCCCAAAGTCCTGCGAATTAACTCGCGTCACTTTGGTGAATGCTGAAATGGAATCAAATTGAATAAAAATGCCAATTTGAATACGTAATCAAGTTGGAATTGCGTTGTGTGTGTTGCATGTGGGAGTCACATGCAGCTTCCTTTGAAAAATTGAAAAAATAAAATGCTGGTTTTGCATGACTAATAACGATTTGTAATCTGTATACAAAAAACAGCTGCTGGGCTTTAAACTTTTTATGCGCTCACATATGCCTACACACACACACACACATAAAAAACATACACATACACAAGTATAGGCACTAATTGTACTCACTATTTTCTATGGTAGGGTCATAAGAGTCCACAAATTGGCCTTCAACGAATTGTATACTGAGCGATGATTTTCCTATGAAATGCAAGTGAAACGTAATTATTTTTATGTACTAATTATTTTTTGTTTTTGTTGCTGTTGTCAGAATACAACGCAATTTCGATGACAGCAGCAACAACAACAAGAAAACGATAGTAGAACGCAACCAAATATGATAACTTAATTGCGATTTAGCCGCTAAGCAGGGAACTTACCCACTGAGCGATAGCCCATCATGGCTATATTCCTTTCCTTCGGTGGCATTTCGATCAATTATGCTACAGAGTGTTAAGATTGGGAGTTTTCCCTTAAGCGATTATTAAATTGTTGTCGCCTCTCGAGTTTATGCGTGCGTGCGTGTGTGTGGTTTCTGATATAAATTTGTGGTTGCGGCACGATTCCGCTCGAGATCTGGTTGCTATCACAGTAATTAAACGGTTGCGGTTTGTGGCTTACTTGTTGTTGAATTTATTGTAATTTTAAATATGTTTCAATTAATAATTTTCCGTCGAACTCGCACTTGCTAAATCTTAATCTGCAATTGCTTTTTGTACACTCATTCGTGCTATTTTGGGCATTGTGCAACACACCTCTTCACGGCAGCAGATGGCAGTGTTGAGAGCTGCCAGATGGCAGGAGGAACTCATGCTACACTTGTAGTGGCAGCGCTGTCAGAATAGTGCACTATTTTTTATCAGGTATTTTAATTTTAATTTTTACAATTTGTTCTTTATGTGTTTTATGCAAGGCGTCAAAATAATAAATAATATATTTGTCTGCATTTGCATTTGCATTTGCGTTTCTCTGATTCGATTTCTTTCGATCACGTTTATATGTCGTTTAATAAATTGATCTAAAATATGCATATTTGTTTTTTTTTTTTAAATATAAATTTCTGGATAGCTTTTTGCTAATCTCTTCCATTATTTAATAAATATAAGTAGAGCAAAGAAATTATTTAAAAGTCACTTCCATACATTTATTTACAACGATTTCGATTCCATTATACTTATCGAGTTTTATAAAACAGTTGCATGCAATAATACTAAATGTATAATATGAAAACCCCTTCATATAAATCCGGACAAACATTTTTATTTTGGCTACGCCTCTGTTGGTGCATCATATGTTCTCATAATTCCAAAAACACCGCGCACACGCACACACATTCCAATAAACATCGGCCACTAGCCAACAGCTGCCTGTTCCTCCTTCCCCACCTAAAGACACTTAGCCAACTTCCAGGCGCTGCGTCAACTCCAACGCCGACGCTTTGGCTTCACTTCACTTAATTTTTTTTTTTTTGAATGTGTTTCAACCACTTTTGCACACAGCCGAACGACGCTTCAGTCGTGTACGTAACGTCGTTCGAGTTGCAAACGTTAGCGGCAGCAGCAAAGTGCATTCCAATTATTGTATTGAAGAGTGTGTGTGTGTATGCGCATGGAGAAAAAGTAAATTTAATGTCCAAACCAAAGTCAAGTTAACGCGCTGCGCTTCAGTGCCCAACTGGCAAATTTGGTGTATGAGGCAGCCCGATGAGGCGGGGCGTGTTGAGGAATATATGTTAAAAATCATGCTTTTGAAAACACATCAGTCAGAGCGGCAAAAAGTATTGCATACCACACGGCTGTCATGAAAAATAGATATCGATTTGCCTGCTGACGGCATGCAAAAGCAAGGAAAAAAGTTGACTTGGGGCTCAAAATGAAATTTTAATGTCAAATTGCGCAGCAAAAGCCGTTTTTATAACAAAAACAATCCAAGCGAGCCTAGTTATCCATTTCCTTTTAATTGGCTAATTTATGACACATTTTGCTTTGGGAAAGGTTGCGTGTATTGTGTGCGTGTGTAAGTGTGAGGATACATAAATGTGCTTGTTTGTCTAGGCTGGCATTCCTGTATGTGTGTGTGTGTGACTGTGAGATCACCATTAGAGCAGCTACGACAACAACAGCACCAACACCAAGAGTGTCTGGCTTTGGGCATTTGGGGGCTCTTTCAAATAGCGCCTTGTGGGTATGCAACACTTTTGCTTACACTTTTTATTCCAACCGCATGTGCCGCACACAGCATAAAAAACAAAATCTAATCTAATTTGGTCGACAATACAAACGCACTTTTTCGCTACGCATTGCTGAGGTGCGTGTGCGTTTAAGAGAGCGAAACATAAAAAGCGAAAAAACAATTAAAGCAACAAAAAACAACGCGTGGATCAATTCAAACGTGCGTGCGTCTGTACTAGTGAGTGTGCGTGGGTACCTGTGTGTGTGTCTACAGTTGTTGCGCTCAAATAAGAAAAAAAAATAATATAGAAGGAAGAAAATTTACACAGCATAGACAAGATTGAAAAAGAGAGAGAGAGAGAGAGAAAAGAAATAAAACCACAAAAACGCGCGCGTGTTCATTTAATTTGTCTTTCGTAATTTGGTTCAACAAGATAAAAGCATTTCCCTATGATTGGCTCATTCTGGAATCTGTGTAGAGCGTGCCCATCAATGCCGGTAGACAAGGTGAGTAATCCATTGATTTTTTACTGCTTTTTACCAACTAACTGGCCCAGCTATCGCCCACACATCTTTTTATTTACTGCACCAACTTTTGCAGTTGTTTTCTCATGTCCACTGCAATACTGCGATTCGTTCTCGTAGCCCATTTTTCTGTCGGCCAATTCGTCTGATTTATGTGCACCAAGTTGTGTTTGACTTATAAGAGCATATAATAGATTTTTATTGCATACTTTGTGGCGTCGAGTGTGCAGGCTACAACATTCGAATGGGGTGACTACTCCAGTTATTGAATTATGACTGACTTGAGGGTGTTGTGAACAATGCTGGCAATGCGGTATAATGAGAAATGCTTCGAATTTATTGCATTTAATATCTGTGGGATGTGTGAAGGGTGAAAATTGGGGATCTGGACAACCAATATAATTAAATATTTCATTGGATTATGGCTGTCGAATTAAAGCTATTTCAATATTGTATGCTATAACTGGCAGGAAAAAGCTAACTAAGAATTAAACTAAGCTAGAATGTATGTATATATACATATATTTAAAGCTTAGATTTAGGGAATACCAAATGCTATACCAGACATTAACACATGTTATTGTGAGGATGAGACAAGGATGAGACTAGTAATTTTATGTACATGTAAAAGTTAAAAAAAATGTTAATGAAATGTCTCTTAGACTCTTTCGCATAGTAAGTTAGAAGGACAAACTATTTTTAAGATTAGCCATTAAATAAAAATTAAACGAAACCTGCTGGGAAAATTACAATAAAAATATACATTTAATAAGTATTGAAAATGCAAATTTTGTAGAGAAAACATTTGTCACCTATGCTGAATAATTTCCTTAATAATACAAGTATACCACACATTTCAATGAATTACCATCACCATTTTTCAATTTCTGCCACCATCCTTTGGGCGTCATTGAAACAGGTGCCGAGAAACATGCAATGTTTCCTTACACTCCACACAGAGAGTCAGCGTGCAAACAAAAGTTGGCTATATGCAAAAAATGAAGTCATAAAGTAAATAACAAATCTGCTGGCTCGGAATAAATTAACGTGCATTATGCCCAACACGCCCGTTGAATCAGCAGCGAAGTGAGTGACGGCGGTGGCAAACAAATTTCTGAGCACGCCGTAAGGCAAAATAATAGAATAAAAGAAATGCAAAAGCCAAAAAGAATAAGTGATGGGCAAAAAGAAAAAATAAAACAAGCAAAAATCAATACCATATGGCCCATGGGCTGTTTGCTCGAGCCACCGGCCGGGCCACAGTTGACTAGAGACTTGGACTCGCTGTCGCCACGGCCGGCGCGACGCTCAAGTTAACGCCGAAGTCCAATCGCATAAATTTCAGCGAGCTAGCGGCACGAAATGTTTGAATAGCCGTCGCTGTAGCTGCCTGCCTAACAAACTTGCTATACTGTCTAGTCTGGCGGCGGCTTGGAAGCTTCCACTGGAAGTGGCACAAGCGTCTCAACAGCTGATGCATCACAGTCCGGAATTGTGCAGAGACCTACAGTGGGGCCTGAAAACAACTCATCATGGATATGTGAAATGTGTTTTAAATATATACTCCCATATGTATAGACGTTGTCCGAGTAGTTCGAATTGTATTTATTAATTTGCGGTTTTACTAAATTACTATAATTTGTGTAAATTTGATTGATTATGAATTAATATTTCATTCAGATCTACTTTTGTCGGAATGTATTGAACTACATATGTTGCTTTTAAAAACATATCAGGGAAAATTTATTATGGGGAGAGTTATATTTATTTTTTTTATTGAAATATGTAAGCTATATTTGCTTTTTGAAGACTCTAATAAACATAATTTGCAATCAGTTATATAATTCAAAACTGCCTTGCAACTTTGTTTAAGGTTTTGGCTTTTTATAAAAATGATTTATGTTTTGCTTTAAATGTCGTTAAATTGTTTATGTACATATTTATTAAAATGATTATTCATTTATTAAACTAACATTTCTTAGACGAGAATCGGCTGCATAACTGGCTATAACAAATACAATCGGACAAACTTCTTTATTTATAAAAATATATATACAAATAATTTAAACTTATGCATATTAGAGTGTATGATTGAAGAAAAATCAAGGCGTGTTGCTATAAAATTTAATAATTGTACCACCTAGAACAGACCTTAAATAAAGATTAAAGAGACGGAGATAGAGAAAAAAATTCTTAGAATAATTTCATATTTTAATTATTCCTTTGTTTAACCATATAACATTTTTTTAAAAATTAATATATCTATTTTACCTTTATATATGCATAAATGAAGAATAAATTGCAACGAAAAAAGTTTTATAAGTAATTCTTGCGCACAAAATTTCACAGCTGTGCTGTAAGCAGGCAATACTATTCAGGCTCAGCTGCCTGCTGCTTGTCCGTTTGTGTGTCTGTCTGAGTTCGTGTTGGCCACTGGAAGCGCTGCGCATATGTGAGTGACAGCACAAGAGAGGGAGTTACAGAGAGAATAGAGAGAGAGAGAGAGTTTTCGTTCAGTGCCGGCTTTTAGAAACACTCAGCGGCAACGGCATTGTTGTTATTGTTTTTGTTACGTTTGAGCCAGCAGCATTTCTCGTTGCGCTGAGCATGACGTGCACACTCAAATCGTCTTGCGGTATTACATCAGCCCGATGTCGGCGCAGACTAACTTTTATAACCAACACCAAAAGCGGCAGCAGCAATGGCAACAGCAACAACAACAAGTGCGCTTATGGGCGCTGTCGCTGCCTTAGTGGCACGTAATTTTCTATAATGCCGGCCAAGTGTCGCCTGTAGTTGGTGTTTAGGCCTCACCGCTCCTTCTGCTTATCCTTATCGATTCACCTCACATGCTGCTTACCACACATTATATGTGCCGTTGTTGCACGATCGATGCTTGTACGTAGCTTGTACGACAACTAGCGAGGGAGCTAGATTATAAATGCCGGTATTAGTCAGCTGGCGAGCCCTCGAAGTATGCTACAAAATTGTGCATATCCTATCGTGAATATCTGCTCTTGTATTTGTTGTTGCTGCCATCTAATTGTGTTTAGCTTGCAGATAGACACAGACACACACCAACACACGCCCATGCACTTGTTGTAGCCGCTGGCTTACACGTGTCTTTTGTGCCGTCATGCGGCCTGCATACAAATTTTCACTTCCTCTCTACAGTTAGAACTCTCTGTGTAGGCCAAATGCCTTTCATTGTTTTGGTTCCTCAATCTAGACTTTTCATAAATCATTTTTAAAATTGTATTATTTTATTTATTAATTTGATATAACCTTTACAAATATGGACCATCCGGCTCGTTATTTCCCGATTTTCAGGGAAATGTGTTATTAAGAAATAATAAATAGAATTCAATTTAATAGCTATTTAGATTAGTTAGGGAAGAAGAAAAAGGAAAGAAAAATCTTTACAATCTTAAACCCATATGTGGTCAGAGATTTCTCTGGACGATTTTAATTTAAATTAATTCGAATTAATCAATAAATTGTGCTGTCGGTACAGAAAACTATAGTGATTTATTTTTTATTAAAATATATATTTCAAAAAAGGAATATAATACTTTAATTTCAACTTAAAAAAAAGAAATCCCTGTTTTTGCCATTTGGCCAGCTATACCCCGATTTAGTGCCATGTGTTGGTAATAGGGAATCGTTATCATACTGTTATGAGAGGGTTCTGATGAGAGCAAGTGAGAAATACTCGTATCATTGTAATCCGAACACAAAACCCGAAAACTATTGTGCAAGGTGTGCAAGTTTTTATAATTGAGTAAATCTTCAAAGTGCGCTATGCGATGGATAAAAACAGCAAAGATTCAAGTTAAAGTTGGAATGTTGTGATTCGTTAAATGTTGATTTCACTGTCATATTCGGATATGTAGATGCGTATATGTATACTCAAGTTGCCTATCAGCATCATCAATATTGTTGCAGCCCAGACAACGTGGGAATCCACTTATTGCTTGAGTGTGTGTGTTGGAATCCAGTATCATTTATGCACATCTATTGGGAACAGCCATTGGCCAACTAAACAGCATCACAAACATATTTATGCTTGGCTCAGCGCAAAACTTGTGAAAAACTCTTGGGGCATATCATTTCTACACATGCGTGTGGCATATCAAATAAAATACAATATTTCAATTGTGTGCAGTATCCGTGTGAATGTAAAAGGAGTATATACTTGTATTTCCTGTTTTGTGCGTCAGCAATACTATTGATGTTGTTGTGGTTTCATTTCACATTTGATTAAGTTGCTATTGTTTGAGTTGGCATTTTTCTAACCAAAATTGTGTGCACTAGCTTCGTCCATTAAGTCAATGGCAACAATCAAGTGGAAATAACTTCGAATGACAAGGGCTATAAAGTGACCCAACGATAAAAAACAAATATCTGCTTGTTTTCAAGCTTTTCATTTATGTGTTTAATTTCAAATGCTGCTAAAAATATGCCACTTTATTATTTTTATTTTAATTTCAATTATATTTATAGAAAAAGATTTCTTTTTATTATGAATATTTCTAATATTTATTATGTGCTAAGTTATTCAATAACAAAGGCTTTTTTGTGTATATTATAATAGATTTAATATTAAACAAACAACTTTCTATAAATTTTAAATATATTTGCAATAAGTTGTTCTTGCAAAGTTAAATAAAAGCATAGCATAATATACGTGTATACCACTTGTACTTAATTATCATTCAACTAGCAAGAAGTATTTACTAATTTTTTTAAACACTGCTTATACCTAATTATCTTTCATGTGCTGTACGCTTTTTTTCCAAATTTGTCCCTTTATTATTCTCCAAAGAATTGCAAATTTCGCAATACAGTTGAGGGCTTAACAAATATCCTTATATTGCTTTACAGATGTTACAAATTATGAGAAGACTTGCAATTAATACTTGTTCTATTGTCTCTTCTTTAAGCATTTTCAACTAGAATTTTCCATTGAAAATTCTCAACCA